GCCAGCCCTGCTGTTCCCGCCTTTGCGATGCATTCACCCAGAAATTTCCCTGTGAAAACTCACAGTCTATTTGCTCTTCCACTTTAAGGTAGAAGGCTGCTCAGTTACTCTCCCTGATTATACTCTATCAGAAACAAGGCTATCTTATCATGACTAGTAGCTGTCCAGATGTTGGAGGCTGATTGGTAATCGCTCTGGAGACCTATAGTGCAATTGCCATATTTGCAACCATTTAAATCTTAGATTTGATATAATTTAGAGTTTAAATAAAACCCCAGGTGTTGGGACAAATCATTAGGAATGTAGCCTAGCCAAATAAAGAAATAGAGAACACCAACATTATTGCCCAGGAATGGTTGACAGTCCTGTCAGGAGATCTGGATCCCCTGGTTAAAATGATTTTTTATTTAAATAACAAAGATCTTAAAATGTACTATAACAGGTTAAAAGCAGGTCCAAAGTCACTGTTCGTCAATATTTTTGAAGACTGGACTAATTAGGTTATGTAATGGACTGGGATCGATCTTGAATGTAGTTGCTCCATTCTGTGGTTGTGTTTTTCTTGCCCTATATAACACTTTGGTCAAAAGAGAAGTGAAATTCCTTTGTATCAGATGAAATGTCCCATTCTCTAAACCTTAGTCTGGGGATTGGTGAGATCAACTGGTGTATCAGCTGGAGTGACTGCAGATTTAGAACTCGAGTTCTAAAGCCTATGATCCAAAAAAGCCTTCCCTCACCATCCACGAGTTCTTCTGGCTAGCTCTTCTACCCTTCCATCAACCTTCTGGTCTTGCATCGCTGTGTGCTGCCCTGAATCAGTCTGGACATTGGGATTCAGTCATTCTTGCATTCTGTCCCCTCTCACAACAATACACCATCTTAAAACCAAGATGGCTGCATAGGTAAATACCGGAAATTGCTGCCTCCCACAACAAATTCAAAAATACAATTAAAAGACAAAACGGACATCATCCAGAACCACAGGAAGGCTACAACTAGAAGGAAAGAGAAGAGCACACTGAAACACAGAGGAGGTGTGGAAGTGCAGAGTTACGGAAGCGCAGTTACGGAAGCGCACAAGGCAAGGGCTGGCAACTAAGGACATTTTAAAGGGCCAGGAGGTTGAGAACCCCAGCCTAAGGTAAATAAAAACATATTTGTAAAGTAAATCAACTATATTTGATACGCTTTCAAAGTAATGGCATTATTTTCTGATCAAAGCCAAAATGAAGCAAAAGTTTTAGATTCCCAGTTCTAATTTTAATTCAGCAAGTGCGAAACATCAGCCCTATAATTAATTATATTTTAGAGCATAACTGTAGTATCAAATAATGTATTATTCATTAGTGGCCTGATAGAATTAAGTCAAATTGATTAAGAATTACAAAATGTATATAGCTCAATAATAAAGTGTTTTATCACTTAATTATTATCAATTAGAAATAAAAATATTGTTTTAAATTGAATACAGCCTTGTATGGGATAGGCCTCAGAATGTTATTAAAATTTCATGCTTGTTTCAAAGCTCTTTTTAAAAGTTTTAAGGAATAAGCAATCGTAAGGTAAGTTTTCTACTGCAATATTCTAAAGTCTAATTTAATATGCAATTTTCCTCAGGGTGGCTCTGTTAAATGTAATCTTCAAGTAATGTGGATGATACCTTTTGCTCTGCAGGTTGGTAATTTATTTCACTTGTAATAATCCAAGCATATTAACCTTTTGATGAAATGTCTAGTGTAAGAAACATGCCTCCTATTCATCTTCATAGAAAAGAAACAGCATGTGGCCAGGTGGTTACTGAATTTCCCCAGAGCAAACAGGGGGTAGGGGGAGGGGAGAGGGCATGAGAGTTGTGCACGTGGCTGATAGCACATTTCCCAGGAAGATTCCTCTAAGCAAAGGGAGGTAGAGACAGCTAGAAAGGTCTCTGCCCAATGTTTTAAATGGCCCAATGGGAGACAGCAAGACCTAGGCGGCATATTAGGAAACAGATGACCAACAGTACTCAGCCAGTGAGGAACCGGAGGAGGGACTAAATAAATAGGCTCCCTTTCCTGCCCCACATGTGTTGCTGTGCAATGGGCGCCCACTCTCCAGAGTGTTATTAAAAGTCTCATTTTCGCCATGTTTCTGTTTCCCAGTCCGTCATTGAAATTTGGACAGGTGAGCCATTTCTCAACCTACTTTATCTACTGCACTGTGTTTTATCCAGCTGGTAGATTGATTTAACTCTACCTTAACTTTTTAGCCCCATCTAAATAGTATGATATGGTAATATCTTGGATTTTTTCCAAATATATTCAACATTCTGAACCTTTCCATCCTTTAGTTTTCAGCTCAAACTCTATTCCTAACTACTATAGTCTGAACAAATAAAATCACTAGTACCTAAAATCCTATTTTACTTATGAACACACACACACACACACATGCAGTGTTTTTATTTCAACTGCTCAGGACAATAAAATTTGTGTCCAAATTGTTCTATAATTATTTTATGTTTGTTAACTCTATATCTCCCCAAAGATTATAAGAATAAATGTTTCAGTTATGTATATCTCACAGGGCTAACAGTATTCATTCATTCAGCCATTAATATTTATTGTGTTTACTGTATATCAGCACACCAAGTACCTAGTAGATAAAATACTGTCCTGATTTCAAGAACTCTCAAGTCTAATGAGATGTAAAGATAAGAAAATAAGTAACTAAAAGAAGGGTGATTATGCGTGATGACTGCAGGTAAATAATTAACTGGTGAAAAAAATAGAATCTAAGATGAAACCCAAAGAAAAACTAGGAGGAAGACAGAGTAAAAGGAATAATGAGTGATAGATACAAAGAATCCTAGATATGAAGTTCAAGTTCCCTGGTGTTGGCACTGCGAAGATATTAAAAATCTGTTTGGCAAAGCTTTTTTATACCGGATTTATTTCTGCCAACACTGACAATTTGGTCTTCAAATCCAGGCTTCTTTGATTTTGGGCCTTAAGATATTTTTTTACTCCGATGTAGGAAAATGTCAACTTTGCTGATTTCTCTTTCCTCTTGCCTTTTTTTCTTTGAAAGCTTTGGCTGTACTAAGAGATGCACAACAATCGTGTTCTTAAATTGACTCGGAAAACAGGAGTGTAATAAATTCCACTCCGTTGCTAACAAATGAGACAGCGCGGACTCTGGAGGAGAGAAACAGAAGAACAGCAGGAAGACGCATTTCAGGGCAGGGAAGGTGGAGAGAGAACCTGGAGCGCAGCAGGCTTCCACAAAGGAGGAGAAATGACTGCACTGGGAAGAGGTCTTTTCTTCCTCCTAAATTAATATGCAAGTCCCAAAGGACACAAATTAAGAATAGCCCAACCCCCCAATAGCTACTGGGTAGTGGTCAGCTTTTCTTTTACACAGCAAAGGGGTTCCATTCGTCCACAGAGGACACCCCTGTACACTGTGGTGCTCAGAGAGAGGCAAGAATCAGTTGCATTTTTCTGTCCCATTAGCTGTTGGCCACCTGAGTAATGAGAAAAACCACTTAAATGACACACCTAACATAGCTGGCAGTTTTTTAGCTTGTGATTATGAGAAGTGAAGTGGTGTGAAATCAAGAGACTCAAAGAATAAATGGCCTCCACTCTAGAGAAAGCCTTTTACAAAGTGCGAATGGTCTCGATACAGTTTGGATAAAAAGCACCCAAGATATATTAGAAACCAGCTGATGATTTTTTGTTCAAATTTCTTGACCTGAATTTCTTCACCTCTGTTAACTTGTGAGGTTTAACTTTTGATAATCTGTGAAGGTCAATGTTTGATGTGTTAAAAGTATAACTCGTTTAATTAATTCTTCAGAAAACCTTTCCATTAAGCCATTTAAGGAGAATGAAGGCTTAGTATAGAATTTGTAATAACTGACTGATTCCATGCCTTGACTGGACCAATTTAAAAGCATATCATTCTTACTCAGAGAAATTCCATGTTCAGGATAAAAAGATAATAAATAGCCCTAACCAGTTTTGCTCAGTGGATAGAGCATCAGCCCGATGTTTCTCTCTCATCGATGTTTCTAACTCTCTATCTCTCTCCCTTCCTCTCTGTAAAAAAATCAATAAAATATATTTTTTAAAAAGATAAAAAATAAAATAAAATATTAGTTCAATAATCTATATAATCTTTAGATTCAATGAAGTTAAACACCAAAATTATAATTGTGTTCTCCAATGTTATTTCCAAACTACAAAAAAGTAATTGTTCTTTTTACGTATCTATATATTATGGTGCTAAGAGTGGATCTTAAAATCTGCATTATAGCTCTGTTAGTTTTGACATTTGAAAAACTCTAACGTTGTCCAGCTTCAGGGATTAATAATAAGCTATTTTTTCTTAGCAATCAAAAAACCCTGTGGATTAATAACTTACTTCAAGTTTAGGAGCTGAACACTGACTCCTCCTGCATATTAGAGACAATGTTAGGCATGGGGGTGATGGGGGAAGGTGGACGGGCATAGTAGGGGGTAGATGTTGTATTTGCAACAAAAGACTTAATATAAAATCTATCGTAATTGTTTTCTATGATGTTTAATATGACATCATATACAAAAAGGTGATTAAAATGATTTTTTATTTAAAAAAAATTTTAAATGTACTATAACAGGTTAAAAGCAGGTCCAAAGTCACTGTTCGTCAATATTTTTGAAGACTGGACTAATTAGGTTATGTAATGGACTGGGATCGATCTTGAATGTAGTTGCTCCATTCTGTGGTTGTGTTTTTCTTGCCCTATATAACACTTTGGTCAAAAGAGAAGTGAAATTCCTTTGTATCAGATGAAATGTCCCATTCTCTAAACCTTAGTCCGGGGATTGGTGAGATCAACTGGTGTATCAGCTGGAGTGACTGCAGATTTAGAACTCCAGTTCTAAAGCCTATGACCCACAAAAAGCCTTCCCTCACTATCCATGAGTTCTTCTGGCTAGCTCTTCTACCCTTCCGTCAACCTTCTGGTCTTGCATCGCTGTGTGCTGCCCCGAATCAGTCTGGACATTGGGATTCCGTCATTCTCGCATTCTGTCCCCTCTCACACAAAAATACCATCTTGCACCGAAACCGGTTTGGCTCAGTGGATAGAGCGTCGGCCTGCGGACTGAAGGGTCCCAGGTTCGATTCCGGTCAAGGGCATGTACCTGGGTTGCGGGCACATCCCCA